ACCAAGCCAAATCCAAAAACACTAGGGAATTCCTGGAAGCTTGGCATTCAGACAAATCAAATAGACACATAGAAATAAACCATATTTACACGTCATTCAAAAGAGACAATAAAAGAGCTAAGAAGGAAACAAAAAGACCAGAACACATTCTCTCCAGCAGCCAATACCTAGACAAGCAGGGATTAACACCAGACAGACGATGAAGCAGAAAACAGTACCCTAATCAAGGAGCTATCAAGGAGAAAACCACACCCCCACCAAAATGGGCAGAGCAAGCAAACCCCACACTCGCACTGATGATGTTACCTAGTTGGGTAATGAAACATCTGCAAACAAACAACCAAGCTCAGAGAGCACCAAGGACTCCACAATTCAACCCTGAGGTACATTTATTCTCTTCTATTGGCGAAATGGATTTGTACATAGGCCCTTCTGGCCAAGATTGCCATCTATTCTTTAAGCAGGAGGCAAGAGTCCAGGAGTTGGATAGATGGCACTAGGAATGTATTTCCCTCTTACTTATGATAATCTAGCTGTCCTGAGACTATCCTAGTCTAAACTTTGTTTCAGGTGTTTCTCCTTTTAATTTTTTTTTTTTTGAATGTATATCAGATCGATTAGGTGGCAGGCTTGGTCAGTCAGATTAAAATGTTCTACTAGCTAGTAGCACTCGCTTATCAGGGGATATAAATGTTCTTAACATAGCTAACCAATCTGTTTGATTGTACAGTCTGTGTAGAGGAAGAGCTGTAATGCAGCATACTAGAAAAGCTCTTTAGATTCAGAGTACTGTCTTCCTGTGGACTGATGGAGCATCTACCCTAGGGAGCTTTAGCTTGTGGGAAACGATAGTTGTGATTCATTTTTTCTTTCTTTTTCTTTTTTGTTTTAAAAAGTTTGAGTAATGTCTGATTAAGGTTTAATGAATAGTAGAATACAAGACTGAACATGTCACAACCAGATTTTGGAAATTTTGCCACATGTCTCAACTTGTATCTGAATGGTGGGGGCTTTGTCCTCAAATGTAATAATTAGAGGTGCAATAAAAAAAAACAGTAAGAAAAATGATTGTGGCTATTGAACTACAACCTTAATGGATAAACTAAACATAATAGTTTTAACATACAGAATCTGCATTTAGTGAGCAGTAGTTTGGAAATAAAAATTCTGCAGCTGGAGGGATTGATCTTTTTTAGATCAAAGCAGATGTGAAGAAAGTAAAATATATCCTTTCTTGTCCCACCTACCCCAAAGCACTACTATTTGCATTGTAAGGAAATCCATAATTTGCAACAGTGGGGATTTTCTTCTTGGGGCTAATATTAAATGCAGATTTTTTTTCAGAATCAGAGCAGAGGCACAGAAGAATATGTTTCATGTCATACACCTGCTGTGCTCTAGATCATTATCACTCTCAAGACAAAGACAGATTTAACTTTATGTCTCATTTAGCCCTAACTGAAAATTCAGATGAATGTTCAAAGATCAGCTTTTACTGAATAGAATACCATATGGCATTGTTGTGATCTAACATACTGCATACATTAGTGAGAAATTTGAACAGGTACGTCTGCTAGCATGTACGACTACTTTGTCCATTCTTTGCATCTCTGAAAGTAGGAATGCCAAAAGTTATGTCTGTAGGAAAAGGAATACTGTGGCTAAGGAAAATCAGAAGGCACATGTATATGATAACTGATCCAGCTGTGAGCTGGCTGGCCTTATGGTGTATGAGGCAGATGTGTCATCTGTGTGGGCTAAAGAGCAGGGCAGTATGGACCACATACATGTGACCTGGTGCACGTCTACACAAGGTGTTTGATTCCATGCTCCTGTTGTCTTTATTTGGCAGTTGAGTTAATTTGCTCCTGGCTCAGCTGTGGTGCAAGAGGTACCACTTGGAAATGGATTTTCAGTTGGAAAGGCAGGGATTTTCTGGGCTTTTGGAGTGAGCTGTATCCCAATGCAGGAACTCTTGTCTCACCTCTCCTACAAGCTCCTGATTTTTAGCCACAATGTAAAGGTCATATAAGGAGAATGATGGCCTGCCAACATCATATCTCCTCTCCATAGCCCAGGATGAATTTGATAACATTTTGCTTGAGATTTATTTATTTTTCCTGTTGGGCAAAGCAGATTTTTGTTGCTACAGGACTGCAGAAGTCCAGTAAAGCAGTGATTTTTTTTGTTCCTTATTCTCAAAGTTTTTTAATCAACAGAAATGAAGATGATTGGAAAATGAAGGGATTGGGAAATGGAAATAGTGGTGATTTGGAAGTGCCCTTGCATCCTTGAAAATATCGCTTCCCAAATATTCCCTTACACTTCGTAAGTTTACTTGTTGACTGAGAAACTACAAAACTTACTGCACTGAACTGCAGTATGAGAATAGAGAAACTGGGTTTGCCTCTCAAAACTGGGATGGATGAAATACAAATTTTCTGTTTACCTCTGTATGCTTTCCTGAGGCTGTCTTGTGTCAGTGTGTACTTTGATTTAAGTTACAGGTGAAAGATGGTTAGAATCTGTGTCACAACCATTTCCATTGAATAATTTTCTCTTCTTTGGAAGAGTAGCCTTTAGAATGGCTCTTTCAGTGGCTGTCTATAGGAGAACATTTGTAATTGTTTCATGTTTTTGTTCCATGAGTTTAAAGCTGGGCTGAGGGCCCCCTCTGGCCTTTGCAAGCATACAAAGCAATGGCAGCATTTCTTACAGTCCTCTATACTGTCAAAGTATTAAAGGCTTCTTGTGGCATGTTGGCAAGTGATTGACACTAAGCTGAAGCAGGTGCAGAGAGTGTGGCGGCTACCTCAAAGCTACGTGGGAGTGATCAGCTAGACTGGGAAAACAAACTGTGGGTCCTCTGTAAGCTTGTTGCGCGTATGGTTCTCTGGACTGACGGGCAGCTGGCTTTTTTTATTGGTGCACCAAGATTGAATTGAGGTGGGGGGAGGGTCACTGCAATCCTACATTTACAGTTTCTCTATAAAGCTAGTTGAACTTGGTTGAAGGTAGTCTATTATTCTCTTCCTGCCTTCTGTAGATTAAGTCCTCAGAAGGATCTAGTTTGCGCGTATATATATATATATATTTCATGCACGAAAATACATTTTAACTTCCTTAGCTATTTCTCTGACTCCTTCCTTGTGCTATTTATGTGGGTTCAAATAGCCTGGGAAACTTTTTTTTAAAGATGAAAGAATGCAAAGAGTTGAATGCTCTGGAGAGAAAAAAGAGCATCCCTAATCATCTACCCACTGGCATATTCTGCTGTCCCAAAGAATTGGTTTGACACACAGTCCAGCTTTTGTTATGCAGCAGTGGCAAAAAGTGCATTGCATGGCACATGATAAGGAATAATAAAAAAGGAAAGAGTACCCATATATGAGTAAAGTGAATTTTCTACTATTCCAACTGCATGACTTAGAGGCCAAGTAGATGTGAGGGGCCCATAAATTCTCTGTGTGAAAACAAATGTCATGTCTGGGAGGCAGAGCTTCTGAATTGGGACACAAGGCTGTTCCCCAAGTGACCTGTTAACATACTTTTTTCTTTTGCTTCTGATTGCAGACCCAAGAAATCACCATGTGGTTCCGCTTCTTGAGAACAGTTCCAGAAGGCCGAGGCTGTCAGATTTCCATCCTAATAAAACAGTGATGATGGTATTTTTATCTGAGAAAGGAACTTTGAATGGATTTGCCATGGTGACATGAAAAAGGACCAGGATGGATAATGGACTGTCACAGGGGCAATTCCATACATGTATGGCCTCTTTGTGAAACTATCTCTAGTCTTTCCTGAGTTGAGACCTGGAGGGAAGGAGGGGGGCAGGGTGGGTGGGGTGGGGAAGGAGCTTGAACACTCCTTTCCAAAGCAAGAATGACTTTAGTAAGGATCCGGAGGAGTTTCCGGCAGGTATCTCCTCAAGTGGTGCTCTTCTTGCTGTTTGCCTTCTGCCTGCTCAGTGTTTTTGTCTCAGCATATTATTTATATGGGTGGAAGAGGGGACTGGAACCCTCTGGGGATATCCCCAGCCCAGACTGCGATGAACCGAAGATTGCTCCCTCACGCCTGCTACCATTAAAACCCATCAAAGTGATAGATTCTTCTCGCACTGACCCCTTGGTTCTTGTGTTTGTGGAAAGCCTTTACTCCCAGCTGGGACAAGAGATTGTGGCCATCTTGGAATCCAGTCGTTTCAAATATCTGACAGAGATTGCGCCGGGGAAGGGAGACATGCCTACGTTGACTGACAAGGACCGAGGGCGCTTTGCACTTATCATCTATGAGAACATCCTGAAGTATGTGAACCTGGATGCCTGGAATCGTGAGCTCTTGGACAAGTACTGCGTAGAGTATGGTGTAGGAATCATTGGCTTTTTCAAGGTATTTCAAATTTAAGAAAATGTTCACTGAAGGTGATGGGAAGGGGAGAGGTGATATACTGACTTCTGGAGATAAGATTTGAGCCACAGTGAAAAGCAGAATAAAAGTATATTTTAGCCTACTCCTAAAGCACAATAAAGTTATCAAAGAGGAACTATGTAATTTCAGGTTGCAATTCTCTTTCCTGATTCCTTGTGAAAGATGATTCTTTGTTAGTAATCCCCAGGGTATATTTGTGCTTCTCTGCGAAAAGAAAGTGAACTAAGTAGCTAAATATCCTTTATTTTTTACATGCAGTTTTGTTTGTCTTTACATCTCAGAGGCAGGGAAAGAAATATTTCACTCCTGAGATTTTAGAAGGCCAGAGGCATGCAACATAATATTGTATATCCTAATCAGATATTTACCATATCTGCAAAATATTCTGAAATTAATTTACTTCACCTTTTATGCATAAAATTAGATGGTGATTCAGAGACAGTGTAAGAAAGTCTTCTCTCTCCATAGTTGCTAGCCTGTATCACTCATCTTCTTAGCGTGGCCATGGTTGCTGGGAAGAATGGGAATTCCAGAATGTAGGGTGGGAATAAACATTGCTCAGACAGCCTTATGGTGGAAGATGATGATGTGGATAGTATCAAAGTTCATTCATTGTGTGCATGTCAGGAAATGAGTCTGTTAAACTTTAGAAAATTCTTCAGTTTCTCTCTTCTTACCAAATTGTTCTCTAAACAGAGTTATTTCTACCCAAGACTTGAATTGATCGGTTAAAGAAAGTTCTGTCATAGCACCCCCATCCATACCTCCCTCCTTCTGTAGCCTGGACTGCAACAACACTGAAAATGAATGCAGTTTTGAAGCCTATTGTCCTGATGTCCCACACCTTTTAATTGAATGGTCTATATCTGATTTTCTTTTTGAGATATATTGGGCATGACCTGATCATGTTTCAGAGAGGTAGGTATTGCCTGAAGGAGCTCTGAGTTGGCTGTTGTTCAAAAGTAGGACAAAGAACTTCTCCAGTATACAGCTTCTCGCTTGGGTGACCGTTTTCCCATTCCTGCTTCTTGATACTGAAGATTTTGTCAGCCCCTGGACTGATAAGTAAAAAGATTATGTGTTGCACTTGATTCGAGATTTGACCAGTGCTATCTGCAGAGGAAAGTCAGAGTGACACAACATGGTACAAGCAGAGTCATGGTATTTGGCCACAACACAACATATGCCCCACCCCTTTTCTAGGTGCATTGTAATGTCACAGACATGCCTCAAAGGTGTGGGGCTTGTGGCTTGATGCTGTGACATTGCTTTCATCATTCTGATCATTCTGATGGAAGTAGTGAAAGCCTGTGGATGTCACTGGTTTTGACAACCCAACTAACATATCAGCAATGATTGTTTTAAGAAATGATTAACCTGTAGGTACAACAAAATTATGCTTGGGAAACACAGTGGCTCTGTTGCAGCTTGTCAGGGTCAGGATTCCTGTTTCCCTTGGTGATTCTTGAGTTTCAAGGAGGTAGAGAGGAAGGACATAAGTGGTTTTTCTTTTCTTTTTTGCTTCCTCTAGGAGGTACACACCAGGGCATTTGATCCATAGGTCAATCACATTTTTATATTTGAAAGGCTAAGCCAAGAAGGGTAGAAATTCAGGGGCAGAACTGATGAGGCCTAAACAAGATTTTTTATTCTGACATTTTCTGAAGTTGTCCTGCAGCTTTTGATACACATCTTTGCACAGTGATTTTGTTTCTTCAGCTCTTTATTGCTTCTTTGGTTCATATTTATTTATTTAAAGTATGTCGCAGTAACTCTGGGTGACATAGAAAGATTAAAACCATCAAAACAGTATAAACTTATGATGCTCTGGTTAAACAATAACCCCTAAAACTGCAACACATCAGCAACAGAGCTCACCTACCTCCCTGGCCCAAAGGCCTGGAGGAACAGCCAGGTCTTCATATAGCCTTATGAAAGGCTAACAAAGTCAGGGCCATCCGGATCTCTGGGGGGATGCTGTTCCACGGGGCAGGTGCAGCCACAGAGGAGGCACAAGTCTGGGGTCCAACAAGATGGTGTTTGATGGAGGGGACCTGGAGCATGCCCTCCCTACTAGGCCTGGTGGGGCAGGCAGAAACAATGGGGGACAGGTAGTCCCACAAATAGTCTGATCCTATGCCATGTAGGGCTTTATAGGTGGTAACCAGCACCCTGAATTGGGTTTGGAAGCCTACTGGGACCCACTGCAGCTTACAGAGCAGTGGTGTTACATGAGCATATTGGGAGACACCAAAACCCGCCCATGCCACAGCATTCTGGGCCAGCTGCAGTTTCCACATGCTATGCTCTTCAAGGGCAGCCCCATGTAGAGCATGTAACAGTAATACAAGTGGTAGGTGACTAAGGAATGAGTCATATGAGCAAGGCCTCCCGGTCCAGGAATGGGCACAGTTGTTGCACAAGATGAGCCTGTGCCAAGGTCACTCTAGCTATGGCTGCCACTTGCTCTTTGAGCAGGAGCTGTGAGTCTAAGAGAACCCCCAAATTGCACACCAGCTTTGACTGGGGAAGTCACCTCCTAGGCAGAGTTAAAGATGGAGAATCTCCAGAACCAGGGGGCCTAAAAACTCATAGCCACTCAGTCTTTCAACTGAGTTGATAGAGGAGTTGTCCTCCTCTATCCAGACTCCTACAACCTCCAGGCACTGGGAAAGGACCTTGATGGCATTGCTTGGTTAGCCCAGGCAGATATGTACAGCTGGGTATCATCGGCATACAGATGACCTCCCCCAACTGCTGCATATAGATGTTAAATACAGCCCTGAGATACCCCACAAAGCAGAGGCCTCCAGCTCAACCTCTCCCCCTTCCCAACACTGACTGGAACTGGCCCTGGAGAAAAGAGGAGAACCACCAAAGAACGCACTGTGCCTTCCTCTCCTAGAAGATATCTTGATCAGTGATATCAAAGGCCACTGAGAAGTTAAGGGGATACAGGATGAATGTACTACCCCCATCCTGGGCCCACCAAAGGTCATTGCCAAACATGATCAATGCCATTTCAGTACTATGGCCTGGTCTGAATCCTAACTGAGAAGGGCCGAGATAATCTGCTCTTTCCAGAGCCCTCTGGAGCTGTAAGCCAACCATCTTCTCAATAACCTTCCCCAAAAAGGGAAGATTGGAGACTGGACAAAAATTGTCCAGATCTGTTGGATCCAGTGATGACCTCTTAAGGAAGGGATAGACAGCCACCTCTTTTAAGGCAAATGGAATCACCTTAACAGAGAAGCATCTACTACCACCTGGACCCAACCACCTGTCACCTCCTGGGAGAACAGCCAGGAGGGACAGAGATCTAAAATACAGGTGCTGAACTCACTCACCCTTCCATTTCATTCAGGCCAGCAGGTTCAAACTCTTCCCAGATAACCGGGCAAGGCTGTGCCTCCGGAACTCTGTAGAACCTGTGCAGCCAGAGTCCAACTCCAAGAGACTTTGTCTGATGACAGCAGCTCTGTGAGAGTTCCCGTAGCCCCTCCTTACCCACTCTGATCTAGGGAGACTTTTTGTGTGTGTTGAGCCTTCAAGTCAGTGTTGACTCCTGGCAATAACCTGGCCTTGTCCTTGCAGTTTTCTTGGCAGTATTTTGCCTCCTTCTTAGGGCTGAGAGAAACTAACTGGCACCAAATTCACCCAGTTGCCTTTGTGTCTAAGGTGGGACTAGAACTCACGATTTCCGAGTTTCTAGTCTGTAATCACTGCTATACTTGATCTTAGCTAAGCTGCTTTCTGGCCTGAAGATAAAGGTTTTGATTTTATTAATCAGTACGCCTTGTCTGAGAGGCCTTTAGGTCACAGAATTTACCCTGGTTGATAGGCAAATGCTTCATTTGTGTGTGTGTGTGTGTGTGAGAGAGAGAGAGAGAGAGAGAGAGAGAGAACAGTATCCTTTTTAACATTTCCTGGCCTTTTTTTTTTTTTTATTCTGCAGGACTTCCCTTGAGAGCCATCTGTATCTGCCCCCGACTTAGCCATTTTGGGGAGTGCAGGTTAGGAGTGAGAGAGGACGATAAGGGAGGAGGAGGATAGTTTGACCCTACTATGTATATTTTCTTTTTCCTCTTACAACATTTTGAATCAAGGACAGTTCCATTATTTATTTTGCATTATCTTAATGATAGAGACATGCAGCCAGATGCTATGAGCAGCTCTGGACTCTACGAGGAATTAAATGAACCATCATAAATTTAAATCCTGACATTTTATAATTCTCAGAGTGCATGAGCACTGGATTCTTGCTCTCTGTAGCAGATCTTGAAACAAGTAACCCATTCATTCCTTATTAGGTTGCTTGTGTCTGTTCAGAGAAAAATGCCATCTGGAGTTTGAATTCTACAGAACAGATCCCCCCCCCCCAACTGGTTGTTTTGTCATATTCAGTATCGTATTGAGGTGCTTTCAGGATTTCTGTTCTCTGTGCTCTCATTCCCTTCAACCTGCTGATATTTAAATTAAAGATAAGTAATGACTGTAGATTCCATTCTCCCCTTTTTTAATAAGCAGCTCAGAGGAGGTTTTTTTTAATATGATGACACTTGTAAAATAATTACTTCATACAATTAATTAGCCCAACCCACCTCACAGGTAGTTGTGGGGAAAATAGGAGGCAGGAGTATTATGTATGTTTGCTGCCTTGAGTTATATATAATCTGGATCCTTCTAAAAAAAAGGTTCATATAAAAATTAGTAATAAACTGTTGCATATTGCATTGCAAACTGGATCCTCCACTTGCTCAAATGCATATACCAATCTTGTGATTTGACTGAAGATAGTAAACCTGTTGAGTGTTTCAGGAACATAATTTATAGCTTAATCCAGGCCAGAGTCTCAGTGCTTCTAAAAGGAGGTCTGGATGGGATAATAAGTAAAATGATTTTAACCATATTTAAATTAAACTCAATCAAAATTAAATTAATTGAAGTTACAGTGGTAAGGTCAGCCTCCATATGTTTAATAACTTTTCCCACCAGTCACATTAAAAACAAGAATTCAATAGCAGCTCCTGAATGCTGTATGAAAACTTGAATGGGGAAGGGCAGATTGTACATCTTTGCCCAAAGTGTTTTGTGTCCTGTGGCCTTTTTCCCTGAGATTGGACTTTTCTAAGCAACTGGGACACTGTGGAGGCACACTGCACTTTCTGAACTGAGCCCATTGAGCAGAGCAAGCTGTCCTTGTGCTTCTCCTTGTTTTAACTGTTACCTGACAAGTTCCTGTCTGAAGCTGTCACTCAGTTCATGTGATTTCCTTACAGGCCAATGAGAACAGCTTACTGAGTGCTCAGCTGAAAGGCTTTCCCCTTTTTCTCCACTCCAACCTTGCACTGAAGGACTGCAGCATCAATCCCAAATCACCGCTTCTGTACATCACGCGGCCCAGCGAGGTAGAGAAGGGACTTCTTCCAGGGGAGGACTGGACAGTCTTCCAATCAAACCATTCCACATATGAACCAGTCCTCCTTGCTAAAACCAAGTCAGCAGAATCCATCCCACACATGAGCATTGATGCTGCACTCCATACCACTGTTGTACAGGACTTGGGACTCCATGATGGCATCCAGAGAGTCCTTTTTGGCAACAACCTCAACTTTTGGCTGCACAAGCTGGTCTTTGTGGACGCTGTTTCATTCCTGACTGGCAAGAGGCTTTCACTTCCCCTTGACCGTTACATCTTGGTAGACATTGATGATATCTTTGTTGGCAAGGAAGGCACACGAATGAAGGTGGAGGATGTCAAGGTAATTGTTTGTAAACCTATATACTGCTCTTTGTTTTAGGTTTGTGGGTTGATGTGGAGCCTATTGAAACATGAATTCATTTCATTAAAGGAAAAGTTTAAATAGGTTTCATTGATGCTCAGATCAGTGGCCTACATCCCTGAATCCTTGTTGCTGGTTCTATGGAGTTAAGTCATTCTGGAATATGAAATCCTGGGAAATTGATATTAACATGCCAAATATTTAATCTTATGCCCCTGTCTCATAAAATTTCTATTTTGTAGGTAGAAACCAATCTGAATGTTGTAGGTAGAAACCTGATGTTCATAGCTAGGATATAGTTTGGGTTGCAAGTACCTAAATTGAGTTAGCTATAAATGAATTCACATGCACTAAAAGGAAACACTTTGCATAAAACAGGAAAGTTCTGTATATGGGGTACTAGACAATTTTTTGGCATCTTATACAAAACATAATTGTGCTCTTAAAATGAATTGGTTTTAAGAAAAATAGTATTTCATAGGAAACCAACCATGAGAGCTCTGGTCTTGGAGAAATGTTAATCGCCAAAGGGTTGGGGAGAGGAGGAGGCAAGGGGAACCTTTGAGCTATATAGCAAACATTGGTAGCTGAAGCAAGATATTTTTGAACAGTTTTATTTGCTGTCATTATTTACTTTTAGAAGAACAGCAAGGAAAAACATAAATCATACAATGAACTGTCTTTTTTAATTACTGGCCATTATTTCTCATATTTTAACAAAAGGAGAGATGGCTACCGAACCTTCTAGATACTCATTTCAGTTTAATAAACGTGTATCAGTCAAAGTTGAAATAACAGATACTCCTGACCAAAGACCCAGTTTTGTAAGATCTAAATGTGCTGAATGAATATCTGAAAGTTTTTTCCTTATACACCTCTGCTTCTAAATAATTAGAATTTATCTGCCAAATGGGTACCCAACATAGTACTTTGGTTTGTAAAAGATATCTCAAGTGAATTTAAGTACCTGTTCATATCAGCATAGGAGATAGGTGAGTCCCAAGATTGATTTATTAGTAGTGATCTCTGGACTTAAGATACCGTAGAATGCATCCATATTTTATAATATAGCTGTCCTGTAAAAGTAAACTTCTAGTTTGCATGTGAAATGCATGTATTAGCACATATTAAAAAAGAAATGTCTGAACTACCATGCATTCTTGCTTGCCTTTATATGGTAGCATGGAACTTGATGTTGTGTAGTTCTTTTCTTTTTAACCTCTAGGGCAGTATGAAAAATTTCTCATCGCCTAAGAAACTCCTTACAAAAAGATGCTGTTTGCAAATTTAATTCTTGTATGTGTTGTTGGATGTTTTTGAAAGTCAGTGGATGATGGTCTGCTTTTCAGAAAGCAGGAATATCAAATTTGGAATTGTCCATATAAGGAACCAAATGATAATTAAATGCAATTAGTAGAATGCTCACAGTCTAGAAATACCACTATAACCATGGCTCAAAGTTAGCCTAAATGAGAAGAAAGATTGTACAAATGTGATCATTGTCTATGATAGAATGTCTAGAAACCCTGCAATCTTGTGGATTGTGAGCAAGGGACTTCAGTAATCCATAGTCATATGTGCTATGGCAAAAAGAATGGGGGGTTTGAATAGCTTTGCAGGTTATGTAGATCCAGACTTTATTGTAAGTAACAATTTTAAATTCTCTTTTCTCCATCCTGTAGGCTTTGTTTGATACTCAGAATGAACTACGTACCCACATCCCAAATTTCACCTTCAATCTGGGCTACTCAGGGAAATTTTTCCACACAGGTAAGAATATAGTTGGCAACGTTGCCTTACTAGGCTCTCAAACCTTTTATTCTCTGTGATTGATGAATTGGAATTTACCTAGTATAATTTAAATATGCAGGTGTCTTAAAACATTATGGTAACTGTAAGAGCTTGTAGTCCTCTGGATGTAATCTACAGCTCCGCTAGCTCCACTTCGCTATCTTTCATGATGGCTAAGGCTGCTGAGATTTGTACTTTAGAACATCTGAAAGGCCATGGGATCTCACCTCTGCAGTGGGTTGTGGAAATGGAAATAATAGCGTTGTATGTCTGATTTAAAAAAAAAGAGTGTTTCTCTATTTCTTTCTACTTGGGGAGATCCAAGGTTTGGGGGTTGGTTTAATCCATGCAGTATGCTACACATAATGCTGCTCAGTGTAGAAACTGTCAGAAAGATTGAGTGGCATGATTCTGTGATGTTCTGCTTTTCATTCATGTCTTAAACATTGCTTCGTGATGACGGTGCTTTGGACCTGGCAGGTACAGATGCGGAGGACGAGGGAGATGACCTTCTGCTCTCATATGTGAAGGAGTTTTGGTGGTTCCCCCATATGTGGAGTCACATGCAGCCTCACCTCTTTCATAATCAATCTGTGCTGGCAGACCAAATGGCCATGAACAAGAAATTTGCTGTTGTAAGTAAGATGCTGTTCAGGACTAGAGCTGGGGTGGGGTGTATGAAAAAAGAGGATTGTTGACCATGAAGAAACGTTAGTTGCTTACTTGTTTCCTGGGTAGAACAAAAAGCTATAAACAAGTTTATTGTTGCAAAATGAAACAAGAATTGCCAGGACAGCGTGGCAGTACATTAAACCACTAAAATAAGAAAGTCTTTAAATATTATGGGTTTGTAATGTCTTCTGTAACCAACTGAATAATTATTTGGGTAATGCAGCCTGAAGCACTGCATAAATGATGAGTGGAAAGTTTGGCTATTTATAAAGACATTCTGATATTTGAGTTTCCTATGAGTCTTATTATTATCAGGTCTTCTGAATTTTGCACCATTCCAAACATCGCAATGCAGAGATTCCCAAACTTTCTCGATTCACCACGCTCTTAGTAGTTCCCAAATTGTGTGCTGCGGTACATTATGGTGCCCCAGGACACTGCAGCACACAGTTGGAGGTTGTAACAGGATAAACACTTTTTTTTTGTCCTTGTATGTAACTCCTCTAGCTACTGATCTGCAACTATGTTTTTTTTTTTACTTTTCACATTTGCTAAAAACAAATAATGGTTCCTATGACACCATCAAAAAATATGTTTAATATATGGTTCTAGTAAATAGCATACTACTGCCCACAAGTCTCTGTTTTAAATTTAAATTGGGATTTTGTTACTGAGTATTTATTCTCCCCAAAACTTAATTTCTCCAGAACCACATTGATGGTTGTGTTGCATGTGAGCTCTCAACATTGCTGTCAGTGCTGTGGTTGCCTGGAATGTGCTTTTCCTGTGAAGGACATACAGAGACAAATAGTGCTCCCAGTGAAACTCAGGGTATTACTAAGTGGCTCAGTTCCATATTAGCATTTTTCTAGTTTAGTAGTGATTCGCTGCTGCTGCTGCTGCTCCCCAAATTTTTGCTAATGTACTGTCCTCTTTTATCGGTTCTAATTTAACAAAGTGTTAACAGTAAGCTTACTCATATTTGTTTGCTGAACGCCTGCAAATGCAGGAGATGTATGTTTATAATATTAGTATACCATTCCCCATTGAAAAACAACCTAAACGCAGTTTACGGTTTATTCATTCAATCTTTTAATTCCAGTATTCTTGCTAGATAATTCCCAACATCTTTCAGCATAGTACTTACCTGACCTTGTGAAATTACTCTCTTTTTAAAAGGGCCTGTAAAAGATATTTGTTAGTGTATGAAGTTTTGGAACTGTATTCACACTACTACAATAATCAACAAGAACTCCATAAAAGGGGAAAGGAAAAAAAAAACAATCTTGTAATTTTGCAGAAGACACTTCTTAAACTACAGGTAGTCCTCCGGTTACAATAGCAATTGGGACTGGGATTGCTGTTGCTAAGTGATGCAGTCATAAAGTGATACACATTGCATAGCAACAACATTCCTGGTTGCCATTGTAACCTCAAGACATGCGGGTCGTTAAGTGGGAAGCAGCAGGAGTCCCAGGCGAGGAGTGCGGAATTGCAGAAGGCTGTGCATGAGTGGGGGAAGCCAGGGAAGGGCTTGGGAGGCCTGGTGCAGGCCGTGCGTGAGAGCAGGAAGGCCAGGAGGTGGGTGGGGCGAGTGCTGGAAGACTGGGGGGTGGATGGTGCAGCATGAGCGCAGGAAGGCTGGGGGGACTTACCAGAATGACTTGCGACCTTACCTGCTGACTTCCTATTGACCTTGCTCGTGGGAAGCCAGCAGGGAAGGTCGCAAATTGCAATCACGTGACTGCAGGATGCTGCAACTGTTGTAAGTGTGAGCCAGTTGCCAAGCATCTGAATTGCAATCACTTGACTGTGGGGGTGCTGTGATAGCCAGAACTTTGAGGACTGATTATAACTACCACTCATTCAGCGCCATCACAACTTTGGTAGCTGAACAAGTGGTCAGTAAGCGAGGACTACCTGTACTGTAATTCTGTACTGTAAATTATTGTCTGAGAATCGTCCATATTCCAGAGTGTTGTTTTTTAATTGCTGCTTTTTCAAATGTGGTGCTATTGGCATTTCTTCATCTCCATAGAAGAATTGTTCAGATATGAATTAGAACATTTTCCAGCTCAGCAGCATAGAAATTCAGTTATTTGTTCATTTAACTATCTCCTTTCTCCTGGAAAACTGAAACATGATGATTAGGGTCACATAAAAATCTTTAGGCCTGTTCTGTACGAAACGTGCTTTAAGTTGGGCATAAAAGCCTGCAGAATAACTGGAAATAGTAAGAGTTACGTAACACTAGTTACTCAGTCCACTCCCTGATGTTCTGACTAACTCAGCAAGAGCAAAAAATATACCTGAACTATGTCTTAAACTAGGATTCTGACTATTTGGATTGTGTACACTAAGCAAGATAAGTAAAATGAAAGTCTGGCTCTTCTCACTCACAGTGGAATTATTTCGTTAAAATTCCTCTCTTCGCACTAGATGATAACAATTATGAATGCCTTCCCTCCTCTTAGGAACACGGCATCCCTACAGATATGGGATATGCAGTGGCACCCCATCATTCAGGGGTGTACCCAGTCCATGTGCAACTCTATGAGGCATGGAAACAGGTGTGGGGGATCAAAGTAACAAGCACCGAAGAATATCCTCATCTCAAACCTGCCCGCTACCGACGAGGGTTTATTCACAGTGGAATCATGGTCAGTAGAAAAGATACCAGCCTGTTAACTTCATTAATTCTTTCCTGGTACATCAATGGATTCAAACAGATGTTTTTTCCAAGATTGCTTTATAGAATACTAAACATAAGTCATGGAATAAACACTATATACCACAAACTGGTCAAGATATAAAGAAGGGGGAGGTTAGAAAACAAATAGTTTTTTTTAATCTTTCTTTTCTTTTCTTTTTCTTTTTTTTCTAATATGCATAAACAACAAGTAACAATACAGTGAAGACCTTGTATTAAGATTAAGATAGAAACCTTTATTATATAACAATCAATTTAATGCATTTTGCAGTTGTTTATCAATGCTACAGTCAGTTCTAGATGTATAATTTAAGCAACCTTATGCTTATCAACATTATCATTTTAGAAAACATAGTTAATATTGACATAATTTTTTCTTTATCTTTAAAGTTATTTAAATCATCACTGTTAATCTCTAGTCAGTACTGTATAAATACCAGTATAATGTACTACTTGTGTTTTTATAATAATACAATAAAACAATATATTAATAAAAATAAAAAAGAATAAATCCAAACCACATGAAATAATAAATCTGCTTAAATTTGGATTTCAACATTCTGTGTTCCAGATTCCATAAAAAGAATTTGTTTTGTGTAGGTCTAATACTGTATATCAATGTTTCTCAAACTTAACTGCTATCATAGATCTCTAAGGAAAAGTATGAAAAATGCAAGAATCACCAATTGAAATACCCCCTTTCCTGTGTTTTTGTTTTCAAGAACATGGGAGTATATGCTTCTCAGTAAATATGATAATGACTGCACAGGTAGTCCTCACTTAACAACCACAATTGGGACCAGCAGCTCCATCGCTAAGCAACACATTTGTTAAGTGAAACATTATATGACCATGCCGGACTTACGATGTTACTTTTGCTGTGGTTGTTAAGTGAATCACCTGTGGTCATTAAATGAGACATCACGTGACCATGTCTTGCAAATTTACTGCCAGCTTTTCCATTAATTCTGCTTGTTGGAAGCCAGCTGTGAAGTGTGCAAATGTTGATTATGTGACTGCAGGATGCTGCAATGATTGTAAATGCCCACCAGCTGTGAAGTGCCCAAATTTCAATCACGTGACCATGGGGGTGCTGTGACAGTCATAAGCACGAGGACCAGTCATAAAGTTACTTTTTCTTCATAACTTTGAACAGTCGCTAAACAGGGCAGTCATTAAGTGATGACTACTTGTAATTGCATTTGTGTATGCTCTCCAGTCCCTTCCATTCTTAAAGGCCTTTATAACTAAACATTGTACCCAAATTTAATCCCAAATTATGTATTTACCATTTGAATTATTTTATATATACAATGCTATAGTATAGCGTTTCTTTGCAAAAACTTGCTGGTCAGGAATATTTTTCAGTAGAAATCTCTTAAGTATTCAGGGGCTAAGGGCAAGTGGATCTTCAGTCCCATTTTTAGATATTTGTTATTTTATTTCTTATTCACACTCTGCTTTTGGGGTTGTTTGTGCAAACTGACTGTTCCATTTTGCACAGCCCATGTAAAATCAGTGTTGGAACTATACTGTACTCTTGATTTGTTTGGTATCATCAGTTTTCGGAATTTTAGTACTCATATTGCTACTTGTATTATCACATGTTCATTTCAGCAAAGCAGTGTTCGGCCATTAATTCATTTTTGCAAACCAACTGCCTGTACATGGGGAGGTGGGGCTTAGAGAGTGAGTAGACTCTGGCCATCTGGCTGTGAATGTGGACCACGTGGTGGTCTGAGGATCACAGTTAAAGATCTCTGCCATTAGCCATTTTAAACTTCATAAATTAAAGATACGTATTCATCAACCTACTCATGTATCATTTGTGAATACAATTTAGTTTAGTTGAAAAGTTTTTCTTTTAACCCACCTGTCAATCAATGACCAACTGAAAAACAGAGATTTTTATCATTCTTTATTGAACTCTTGGACAGAATTTTCCAACGGGTCTTTGTTGTGAGAGCCTATGCAAGGATGCAACAGTAGATTCATCTAGGCAAGGCAGTTCTCAAAACATTAGTGTCCCAGGTCATGCAGGTCATTAAAGAATAAAAATATTATCTGGAATTATGCCTAAAAGCAAATTGGCAGCCACATGTAACTGGCACAAAATTAGCTGAATATGCACCTGTTTCCAACACTTGATGCAAGATGGACAGCTGTGTGCTACCAGTTGAGGCTTCTGAGTGCTCCACAAAGGCACCCTCACGTAGAATGAATTGCAGCGTGCCAATCAGTAAACACTATGACAGTTTAGACTGATGTAGAACATTTTGTCCTATACGTAGGCAGTGGGGGTGGAGAGGGGCATCTGCAGTTGGAAAACATACTTCTATCAGCGGCTTTTAACTGTTTTTCAGGAAAAAGTACCAGGGCCAGGTTGTGGCCAAGCTTTTTAGCTAATCAGAAGAATTTATGGAGTTTCTCTGGTTTAGAAGAGGCATATTTTTTCCAAAACATGGCCATTTGTCACTAGAATGATTGCCATCTTGTCTAGATTCAATTTCAACCTTTTTTTTTACGTATCCACTTGTCTGTAGCTTCCAAACATCTAAAGGCAGAGAAAGGTTCTTCATTTCTTAAGTACATATGTACATACTTGCCCATTATGCAGTTCCCTTTATCCTCGTTATGCAAAGTACAGGGAAAAAAAGGTAAATAGTAAGCAAATGAAATTAAAGGCAGGAGATAAGAGAGACAAAAAAGAACTAAATCTAATTTACACCAATACCATTCACTATACCTCCCAAAACCTTTCTGTTATTGAGAACGTGAACCCGATAGATATCCTCAGTAAGTTGAGGACACTAACTTGAAAGCTAGGGATGGACACTCTTAAAGTTTTTTCATAGATGGTGAACTGCACTGAGGCTTCATACAGGTTTAAAATACTTTTTTGTCCAGAGTTACATCTGGAAAATTGGTTTCATAATGAACAAAGTCATAGTTATAGTACAGTATTGGCTGATAATTCTGTTTCAGTTAGATCTAAGTTTTGTGTAACACTTACAACGGCTTATGAAAAGCAGAGGATAATACTACGTTAAGGGATAGTAGATAATAGGGATGGGAAGTGGCTTGCATCGTAAGAAGTCTGTTGATACAGAAATGGGGGAGCATTCCGGATAATCCAGATGCTAAGAAGCTTGTAATTAAGAGTTTTAATTAGAAAACGCCATAGTTAAAACAAGAGGTGGACAAGCTTACCTTCTAAGAAAAGTTGGGGAAAGGCTATATGGAGCCTTTCATATTATTTATTCAGGAAAATTCTATTACCAAATTATTAATACAATCTTGAACTCTGACTTCTGCATAGTTTTGAGCAGTGTACAGCTGTTGTAAGAAAATTAGCTAATTGCATATGTTAGAAATCTTATATAATTTCAACAACATGCTTTTGACATTTTTAATACAGCTTACTTTAGGAAGACTTCTATCTAGCTACGTTGCTGTTAGTTTCAGCTAGAACTTCATAATTGCAGCTTGAAAATCATCTGAAGTTCTGTGTTCCATTCAAGAGAACAGAGAGAGAGAGAGAGCTTATTACTTTACAATAGAAAATTATAATAAAATTTAGCT